TAGTTCTCGATACGAGATGCAGAAGCGTTTTCTCACACGCGAGATGATATTCAACGGGACATAGTTGGACTTGTTTATTTGTTGATTCCATTTATTGATTTTATTAGTTTAAAATTTAATTATACGCTTTTATTTTATTTTGGTGAATTTTAAAAAAAATTTTTTAGAATTGAAAATTTTTTTTATTAGTCTGGAGCGAAGCGAAGGACTATATACGTTTAGCAATTCAATTATCACGTGAAATCAATTGGCTTTCTGCAAGGTGATGCTGTCCACCCGCTTAAAATTTGAGTCGATACGTTATTGGTCCCTTTCATTACACTTGTGCTCTGAACTTAATAATGGTTTCCCTTGTTATAAGACGGGTATTGGTAAGACGTAAGACGTAACATAAACATTTATTTCAACCATATTAGGGGTTTTCAAAATTGGTTGATGCAAAATTTGATGCACTTGTGATTAACCAATCAATTATTATTTTTTTTAGTATACGAAATTGAATAAAAACAATGAATATTTTGATGTATTTTTATGAAATCGTATTTTTAAAATAAGGATTTTACAAATTTGTGATTGGCTACTTGGGCCGTTAAAAATTTTGCATCATCACTACACCTGCTATTTTGCTGATGCATTTGATGCAAAATCTGATATAAATTTCAGCCAATCATATCTCTTGAAATTTGCATCAACCGATTTTGAATACCCCTTTAATATTTTTTGATTGGTCGATTCAGGGATTAACGTCCAAATATTTATACGAGACATTCGCCGGACTTTAACCAGCCATTTAAAATATTACAACTAAATTAACTGGTCACAATAATATGCGCCTACCAACCATACAAGAAATGGGCGTGTTCGAAGATAGTCTTCCACCATATTGTCAAAGTAAATAACATAGCGTTGAGAAAGGTTTTATAAATTTACTAATAAATAATTAAATAACTTTTTCTTCATTTAATAATTATAGTAACTGACCTGACGTCTATTGTTGATGGATATACGGTTAACAACCATACAGGAATAAGACGTCTTCAAAGTAAATAGCGTTTAAAAACTTTTAGAAATTATGATAGTTTTTATAAAATTACTAATTAATTAATTTTTTATTCACATTTAATAATAATAGTAATTTACCTGACGTCTATGGTTGACCAGAATTGGAGATGGCTCCATTATCAAAGCCATTGATGGCTGTTGGAGGAGCAAATATTAATCACACCAAGGCTAAATATTATAAAGCATATTTAGTCTTGATGTAGAGGATATAGGGACGTTGATAAAGATATGATTTCGGTGGTAAAAATGTATACGTTGGGAAATTTAAATTATGAAGATGCTGTTGGCAAAGGGATGGCGTGAACATGATCACAGAAGAGATTTTATTTTATTGTCATTATATTTTACTTTCTAATGATAATATATTAATGGAATATTTATAATAAACTTTATTTTGAAATTTAGTACTGGGTCCCAACTTAACGGTCCCATGAAAGTTCATTTTTCTAATAAAAATTATTCATAAAATTGGTTATAACGAGTTACTATTGATTAGACTTTTCTATAACTAAAATTTTCGAATCTTTCATTGCAAATTTGCTTAAAAATTGGCATGTACCACGTTCTCACGCAATGGAGAATCGTTTATTAGCTTTCGTATTCGAGGATAACGTTTTTTGATCATAAATGCGGAACGTCAACTACAATCTTTAAGCCAATCACATTATACAATCGCAATTAGAGAACCTAAAAACTTACCAAACATATTGAAACCACTTTGCTCGAGATCAATCAGTATGTTTTATCGACCATTTCTACGTACATGGGACCGAATCACGGTACCATGTGGTCGTACTATTCCAACGTTCATCGCTTACAAAATTCTTTGGCGCTTACCGTCACAAAAACCCAAGGCTTGATATTACCGAGCTATTGATGACAGTATATTCTCGGAATATGTCGTTCTCAGCAGATCGAAAACGTATCCACCTCGATATACGCGTGCCTGTCGTCTCGGAAGTAAATATTCCACTCGTGCCATACGACTTAGGATGAAGCATGTCGTCTCGAATGTACGCTGGCTGATTGTGTAGTTAAAAGGAATTTTTCGCGTTTAATCCAATTTTGTAATCGGTTTCGTTTCTTGATAGGACAATTTATAATTATCATTGATTTTAAATAGACTTCCCATCTTCAACTTTAAGGAAGTGATGATTGATATCTTTCGAGCGTTTGACGAAGTAGTTCGAAAGGAGAAGTTGTAACGGGTCGTAATGGTGAGATCGAGCACCTACCAGAGAAGGAGATGTATTTGCGTGGAGAAACTGTCGTCTCGAAGAAAAATTTCCGAACGCAGATCGCTCAATCCACTCATGCCATTATAAAAGTGCAAGTTGATATTGCGCATCTTTGCTATCACTTTTTGCTGCTTTTTTATACCAATAAAAAGCTTTTTCGAAAGGCTTTAGGATGTCGTCCAAAATTACGTTGGTTGGTTGTTCAGTTTAAAGGAATTTATCGCGGTAAGTTCCGTTTAATCCAATTTGTAATCGGTTTCGTTTCTTGATGAGACTGTTAATAATTATCGTTGGTTGAAATAGATTTCCTCATCTTCAACCTTAAATGCAAGAAAATTCTGACGAACTTATAAATAAAGTGAATTATATAATGTATGAATATATAAATGAAATTAATTTACCTTTAAGTTACTGTACTTCGATCAGATCATAGAAATCGATTTCACACATTAAGATGGTATAGATAAGTAGTGAAGGAAAAATGAAGGTGATTGGATGAAGTGATTCATCAGAGAATCATGAGTTTTAATTACCTATTCCAAAAAAAAATGCATTATGGAAGTTACACTTGTCATTATTCATAACGCGTCATGAAAATATTGAAGAGCGCATTCCTAAACGTAACCACAAATAATGCATCTAACTGGATGTATTAGTATAGACTTGGTAAAACGCGTGTAAAAAAAGCATACGTTAACTTGTATTCTGCGTGAGAATGTCAATAGCAAAACTCCAACATGTAATTGACTATATGAAAAACAAGTATATTAAATAAAAGCATAATATTTTCTATGATTTTGGTAAAAGAATAAATACTCTATATAAGATATACATGGTGAAATGGAAAAAAATACATACCAATTTTAGGTTTTCATAAACCTTATATTCGAAATTCATATTTCATTTTTACATCAAATTGGTGTCAGGACTTAACAATGGTTTCCGAAACCGTTCCCTGGTATTAAAGTTCCTTTGTAGATTACCTATTGACCATTATCAATAAATTAATAATTCATCTTCGTTTTGCATCTTAAAAATTTTGTCATGGAAAGAAAATGATATTCGAATTTATAAAATAAAAAATTTTTTTATGAACGGCGACGCTTGTTGTTGTGTTACGTTATTCGCTCTGTACACAAACCCAAAGTTTTATAGAACATTGTTAGTTTACTTTTATAACATAT